TGAATAAAACATTTGCAACCAAAGACTCGAAGATGGGAAAGGTTTGGCTTTCTCCCTTTGTATAGTTCATAGGGCGTTTTCATGAGTATCGGTCGAATGACGGCTCGGTTTAACACGTAGCTCGCGGTACTCACGGCATCCGCCCAAAAATACTTAGGGATTTTTGCCTCATTGATCATAGTTCTAGCCATCTCTTCGAGACATCTATTTTTACGTTCCACCACTCCATTTTGTTGTGGTGTACGTGGGGCTGAGAAGTTATGATCAATGCCAAGTTCGTCACACAAATCTGAAAACAGATTTCGTTCGAACTCTCCCCCATGGTCGCTTCTTATGGCTACTATGGTTGTTTCTTTTTCATTTTGAACTTTCTTTAAGAAATTTTTGAAAACGTGAAATGCCTCACTTTTATGAGTTAGAAACAGGGTCCATGTAAACCTAGAGTAGTCATCGACAATCACAAACGCAAAGTAATTGCCACCAAAACTCTTCGTTCTAGAAGGACCAAAGAGATCCATGTGCAAAAGTTGAAGCGGTCTAGACGTTGAAACAACGTTTTTAGACTTAAACGAAGCCCGAACTTGCTTCCCATTTTGACATGCATCACATATGATGTCTTTTTCAAACTTAAGTTTTGGAACGCCAATTACTAAGTTTTGTGAAACCAATTTATTCAAAAGGTTCATGTTCATATGAGCTACCCTTCGGTGCCATAGCCAAGTGTCTTCCTCTTTATTCATGAGGCACTTAGCAAAGCCAGAATGAGATTTGTCTAAGTTAACCATATAAATGTTATCGATTCTATCACCATGTAGAATGACCTTATTGTCACTAAGGCGTTCTACAATGCATGATTTTGAATCGAAGGTCACACGGTTTCCCTTGTCACATAATTGACTTATGCTCAAGAGATTGTGTTTAAGACCTTTGACTAGCAAGACATTATCTATAGAGGAGTCTTCAGACTTACCTACTGAACCGACGCCAATGATTTTCCCCTTGCTATTATCTCCAAAGACTACGTTTCCTCCTTTAGCGGGTTTGATTTGTAGGAACTTGGATGCATCTCCGGTCATGTGCTTGGAGCATCCGCTATCAAGGTACCACAGTACACTTGACGCCTTCAAGCATACCTACAAAGATGATTTAATAAGATTTAGGTACCCAAGTCTTTTTGGGTCCTTGAGTGTTAGGTGCAAAGTGGTAGTGTGATTCATTTTGTGCACAATGCATATGCCTAGTAAAGCAAACGGGAGCTATATGTCCTACCCTATTGCAATAATGGCAAACTACGTTTGGGTTGTGCATCCTCCTAGGTTGGTAGTAGTTGCTAGGGGGCCTAACCATATTCATCCTGTTTTGAGAAAACATTGGTTTTTGAAAATTTTCCCTTCTAGGTGTTCTAGAATTATTTTTTCTATTTGAAAAATTATTTTTATGCACAAAATCATTTTGATAACTCTTCCTAGGTTGTCTAGCATGCACACTTTCATTCCTAGGTTTTTGTCTAGGTTGTCTAGTGTCCTTAGTTTGACTAGATTTTCTATTATCCTGATTTTTATCCTTCTTATGTTGAGCCTTATTAGATTGTCTAGGTGTGTGCTCAACGTTTTTATCCTTAGGTTCATTTTTATCAAAACCTATTCCTTCCTTAGAGAAATGCATAGTGTCAAGAAGTAAGTTAAGATCTTTGTGTGGTGTATTAAACTTCTTAACCGTACTCTCAAGTTTTGCAACTTTTTCTTTTAAAGTGTTGCAAGATTCACATTCATTTGAAGAGCTTTCCGGTTTGTCAGCGCTTCTTTTGCCATAAAATTTGTTTTCTTGTTTCAGCCTTTCATTATCTTTCTCTAGCTTTTCAAAATCATTTTCAAGGGTTGAAAGACTTTTCTTCAATGATTTATTGGTTTTAGAAGCGCTTACAAATTCGCCATAGAGCTCATGAAGTGCTTCTTGCATTTCTTCAAAAGTGTAAGAGTCGGAAGAAATGGTACATACCTCTTGAGCGTCGTCGGTTTGATCTTTGTGCGCCATGAGGCAGAGATTGGTGGCTTCCTCCTCTTCTTGATCAGTTGACTCGTCGCCGGAGTCACCACCCCATGAGATATAGGCACGTTGCTTTTTGAAGCCAGGTTTGTCCTTTCCGTTTTTGCCTTTTGGACACCTCGGCTTGATGTGGCCTATCTCGCCACAGCCATAGCACTTCGGGGGACCGT